AACCCGGCAGCCCCCAGCTGCTCTACCCCAGAGTTAGGCAAGAAAAGCCTGGTCTGCTGGGGAGGAGGCACTAGCTGCACCCCCCCACCCCCCAGCAGACAAGGGGGACAGGAGCAAAGCCGCGGAGCACGCCCGCAGCGGGACAGCCCGAGCGTGCTTGAGCTGTCCCCCTGCCCGTGTGCTCTGCAGCTTTGCTCCGGGTCTCCCAGGTCAGCAGACCTGGGAGAGGGAGCAAAGCCGTGGAGGACTTGGGCGGTCCCGCCACCCCCGTCTTCCTGGTCTGCTGGGGGGGGGAGGGTGCAGCTAGTGCCCCCCCAGCAGACCAGGCTTTTCTTGCCTACCCATGGGGTAGAGCAGCTGGGGGGTGCCGGGGTGGGCCCCCCGCGCCGCGCTGAGCTCCGGGGCGAGAAAAGCCCCGTTCGTAAGTGCGGATGCGACATAAGTAGGATCCGCGTAAGTCGGGGACTGCCTGTAGAAGTAGTTATAAGGAACTATTCATGTAGCCTGTAAACACTCTGCATACTAAAATCTGTAACCTGCTAACTTCCTCTTTTTGTCCTAAGATTGCAGATTCCAGCTACATACACACACACACGGTCTATATAAAATAAAATGGAAAGCAGATCCTTTTTTAAATTAAAGTGTCAGATTTTCATTTGCATTAAGGCCATTTTATACTGATCTGGCAGTGTAAAAAGAGGGCCTTAAAAGGCTTAGTTCTAAGGCCTATTTATGTCTGTTTTCAAACCTTTTCAACTGCCAGATCACTATGGAAGGGTGTTAGTGTAGAGAAACAGGCCCCAAATTTTTGTAAAGTAATTATAATCAGTAAAGTGTGATTAGCTAAAAATTGAATTATGCATCTGCTTTAGTGGTACAGTGTTACCCAGTGGAATATTACTGTACATGGAGGATAAAGGCTGTGCAAATCCATTGTATCATGTAGAAGAGGACTGAGGTCTTTGGTACATTCTTTATTTTTTTTATATAGAGGCTCTATTTATTTATTTATTTATTTGTGTTCTGTTAAACTCCCCCTACCTTCTATCATGCAGATTAATAGGCAGAGAAGGAAATGGTTGATGTTAGTGATCGGTGAATTTAACATATTTAGAGATTTGGTTTGACTTGGTAAAGCAAAATTCTGAGGTTTGGATGCATATCTAGAGTTTCTAAGAATTAACCAAAATTATTTAGGTTTCCCACTTGCTCGATCCTCTTACATCCTGCCCCTTAATAGCTACCTGTGCTAAGAGGAGGACATTCTTCCTTCCTTTTAGGGGAGTCTCTCTGAGGACTTGTCTTCCAAAAAATCTTTTGAAAAGAGCCTCCTCACTCAAGCTTTCTTTATGTCTCTGGACCTCAGGAACAGAAATATTCTGAGGGAGGCTTTGCCACCTTGACTCCAGCAGAAACACACTAGCCTAGCCTAGTGATTGTGCTCTGTTTTCTCCTGTTACTGATGCAGGATTTGGAGCTCCCCAGGTGCTGTGAATCATAGCTGGAAACCCTCAGATTTTTACAGAACCATGACCAAAAGGAAGAGGAGAGAGACTTCTCTCAGGGGAACGGTCCAGGTTTGCTTCATGGACAGATAAACTCTTGGATTAGTTCTTATTTCACCTTAAGCAGGTTTTTGGACCTGTTCTCAGCAGACGTGCAGTAGTTGTGGGGGGGGGGGGGAAGAACCTAGCAAACTTCCTTCTCTCTCTATCGCTCCTTTGTGTATATTTCTCTGCAACAAATTTTTTATTTAAAAAAATCAGTAGTATATATAACCAGAGTTTTCTGCAGGAAATATTACATTGAATTCAGTAAAGCTCCCACCCTCCCAACCCCCAAATACATTAGAAAAGCAATAAAAATAACTTTGTTCAATTTCAACCCTGTTGTGTTAGATTCCCTTTAATAGTTTTGTGTTTGCAAGACTTGCCAGTCCAGTAAGACATAGAGCCCGACCTTCAGGACACAGCTAGTCTTCAAATGCTCCAGGACTGATTTTCTTAGCGCTGAACCACTCAGTAGGAAGTACTGCTCTGAGTAGGAAGTGCAGTCCCCCATCTCATCATTGCCTCCCTTGCCAGCTTCTTCCTCTGCTTAATGAAACTCTCTCTTTAGTTCTAAAATTATTCTTAACGTTTAATCTAAATCTTCCCTGCTGCTCGTTGGGTCCCCACTGACTCAAGAGAATAACTGATCCCTATTCTTTTTCAAATATCCATTTCTGTGCTTGAAGTTACAGCCTTTTTCCCTCTGCCTTTTTCTTAGACTAAAGATGCTAATATTTCCTGTTTCGCTCTGACTTTTATTTTTTGTTAGTACGGCTCTCTGAATTTGCTCAGGTTTCTTTATGTTCCTTTAAAAATGTGGTGTCCAGCAATAAAATCTGTTCTAACAGAGAGCCAAATGACACAGAGCAGGTTGCTTCCCCTATATATGATATACCTATTATTACAGCCCAGTATATGCCTACTCTTTTTTACAATTCACTTAGGGTACGTCTACACTACAACATTAATTCGAACTAACTTAGTTCGAATTAGTTAATTCGAACTAAGCTAATTCGAACTAACGGATCCAGACTAAAAAACTAGTTCGAATTAGCGTTTTGCTAATTCGAACTAGCATGTCCACATTAAGTGGACCCTGAACTGGGGTTAAGGATGGCCGGAAGCAGTGCCGGCAGGGCATCAGAGGAGGACTTAGAGCGTGGAGAT